GTGTCTGGCTGTCTCATTGAAACACCAGACACAGCCTGGTCGTGCTCCCTGCCGAAGGAAGAGCATGATTCGGTAGCCCCCCATCAGCCTAACCAGCCCGAGTTCATTTTCCAGATCCAATACGACAACAATACTCGGACTCTGTGGAACATGACCAACGAGGAGCAGGCTGGCAGGAAGGGACAAAGCTTCCTGACCGACCAAGGGTTCACTCCGGACCCGGCACCCCCTTCCATCGCGGAGATGCGTTTTCTAGGAAATACCACAGATCACATCGAAGAAGACGACAAAGCCGGAGAGCCGACACCTTTCTTCATCAGTCTCCTGACGTCGATCGAAAAAACAGTCGGTCCGAATATGCTTACCCGCCGACAAGAAGAACCCAACAACGCCATCGGCTCGGGAGACGACCAGGCACTCGACCTCGCGAACGCCCTTCCTGCCCCGAAAACCAACGGCGACGGCACAGTCGGTCCGGCCCAGCTCTTCCCGCACGCCACCCAGCAGCCTATCCGCCTGTTCGACCGCGGCCTGCCTACCGAGCACTACGGCTTCTACACCTACTTCGACAAGACCATGTACATGATCGACACCCTAGAAGCGAACACAGGCGACGACAACGGCGGCGCCACCTACGCCGCGGCCAAGTCCATAGTAACATTTGCCCAGACGCGCTTCCTCGTGCAGATCTGGACGCGCACGGAGAACACCACGCGCCTGCTCGGCGGCGACGGCCCCGTGCCCTGGACCAACGGCTCCGCGGCCGCCGACACCCCCGGCACGATGCCGTACCCGGTGACCGCGACCTTGGACATGCACGGCGGGAACAGCAGCAAGAAGATCGACTACCGGTTCGGCATCCAGGACAACCGCGCCGTCAACCTGACGGACGCCCAGCTCATCCTGTCCGACCGCGGCTACGGCGGCACCCTGGTCAACCCCATGAGCAATGCTAACCTGTCCCTCGGCGGTATCGACGGCGGCACGGGCGGCTGCAAGTGCGAGTGGATTAACTTTGAGAGCCTCAACAAAGTTGCTGTATAATATAAGTTGGTTGATCGAGTTGTGGCGAGTGTATGTTAGGTACGGCAAGGGCTTGACGCGGGTATATCGTTCGTTATTCTTCATTACACACACACACACACACATACATACCTACACATACACATATACACATGTACATAAGCATGTCAGGGCGTTTTTTTTTTTTTTTCGGATTGCATAAGCGTATTCAAGCGGAAGACAAAAATTGGTCAGCGGCTTTGGCATTCACAGGATGCTTTCTTATTTGTATATTTCTTTTTTTTATAACTTTGGAACCTACCTACCTGTTTATGAGGGTTGGATATGTATGAGCGAGGATATCCAAGCGTTTGAGATGATGGATATGATAAGGTGGACGGGTGGGTGGGTGCATGATACCACGATGATTTTGGACGTACGATCACCTGCTTAGGTATGCATATTAATAAGGGGTTTCTATGTAGCTGTATTACTTATAGTCAGCGAGAAATTAAAAAGCGAATTTGATTAAATACATTGGAATTTCAGACTCGTGAATGCTGTTTAAGTTAGGCAAGTTATGAGATAGGAGTGGTGCATTATCGTGTGAAAATGAATGAACATGTTTTGTATGCCTAGGCGCTAAACCATTGCGTCAAAAGGGTGTCTATATTGTCAGGGAGAACACTTGGTTGATTTCATACATAGAGCGAATGTCAGGATAGATGAATTTAACTCTTAACGCCTGCTCTTCCGTCCTCCTTCGAAGGTGCTATACGCCTCTTGTATATCCCAACCCTAGCGGATCTAACCCTAAATCTACCCCTAACCCACTTATACTCTGATAATAACTGACAGTAATACTGGGCTTCCGCCAGGGCCCTATAGTAATCTATCCAGAACTCCGGTAGATGGCGGGGTTCACGTTCTTCCCAACCATATCAAGCCGTTAGTCTCCAGTAGGTATTCGATTTGTGCTGGTAAAGTGGCAAAACCCCATTTTCCAGCGCCATAGATTCTGTCAGGATTGGATGCCCTAGTGAGGTGAATCAAGCATAGAGTGAATGTACAGGGTAGTATACCAAGTAGCAATTGTATTGAACTTAGTAACGCCTGGCTTTCTAACCTCTGACGAGGGCGCTTCGCGCCTCTTATATACTCGTATAGACCCCTGTAGCCACCCTGACCCACTATACCCTGACAGATTCTGAGCCCTGCGGATAGTTCTTTCTCTGTACAATTCGAAGGAATCTCGATGGAAGAGAGTGCCAGCACATTGAGTACGAGCCGCGAATCTCGAATGATGTTGGCAACGGTCGAATAAATGGTCAAGAGAACCAGTCGAGTAAGAATCCGGTGTCGACATCATGACGACGCGATAGTTATGTGTAGTGAAGTGACTGACTACTATGGGCTTCTATAGCTTCTTCCCCTGGAACCTCGAAGCTCGTCATGCGTTGAACTTATAATCGTTTTGTTCTCGACATACTTTGATTGCCTGGAGAGCGTTTCGGACATTACTGTACAGTTTCGTCTCATAAGGTTACGGTACTGTTCATCGTGAGCTCCAGTCCTGTAATCATCTCACAAGGGAAACTCACCTCATTTTTGTGTTGAGGTTGGTGAAGGTAAAGAAGATGTAGAAGGGGAAGAATCCCGGACTGGATCGACCCTTAATAAAGGTGTGTCTTGAGATTGAGATTGCCTCTCGTTCCATTGCCCAGTTATGTATAGATATTCCTTTAAGGCATCTTCCTCAGTAGACAGGAGAGTAGGCTCTAATAAGAAGAGCGTGAAGAAGAGCGTATGATTAAACATGCCTTATTTGTCAACCTTATCGGAGTCGGTAATAGGTTTGCAGTTATCTAACAAGATGTTGTATTGAGAGCCCTGATACTCGCCGCCATATGATAGCGGAAACCTGGAAGCACGTTGGCTAAGGCGCGAGCGGATTTCGCCCCTAACCATCTTAGGAGGACATAAATGTCACTTCTTTAGTCTTATGGCCTTTTGTGTAGCCATATTTTATAAGCTTGTAAATATTTAACCATCTTCCCACATTGGGGGCATTCGTTCGGCTCGTATGTTATCTCTGGTTTTTCTTGGCTATGTCTGGGTGTTCTCCTGCCATTGGGACATTTTGGTAGTCTCCCTCGATGGACTCGTCTAGTAGGTAAGAACTGTAGCGCGCTTTGAAGAGTCGGCCCCTCCCACAATATGCGTGGATTGGAACGCCGGCCCCGCTTGTGAAGGGTGCGAAGTCTTTGACGTTCACTTTAGCTTTCTGCGTTATACTGCTGCCAGATGTTAGATTCGTCGTCACTTTCAGCCATGTGATAATACATACCTTTTTCTTGTATCCCGAGCCCGTAATATAGTAGTTTGTGTTTAGAGGGCGTCTGTCTTAGCATTTATTCTGCAAGGGGGATGTCGAAATCTTCAAAGGTATAACGACGAAAGCCCTGAGACTTGCACTGGTTGGAAGTAGGATCACACGCTGTTAGGAGCGATGAATTATGAGCCAACCTGAGACTAGGCCGCTGATATTGTTGGAAGCTCGTTGCTCTTGATGTCTCTCGTCGAAAGATTTAGGTTAAGTAATAGTTGAAGGAGTAGTTGAAGGAGTAGTTGAAGGAGTAGTTGAAGGAGTAGTTGAAGGAGTAGTTGAAGGAGTAGTTGAAGGAAATGTTGAAGGAAATGTTTGAGTTTATAATTTGTGCGGGATGTGACTCTTATTAAGAACCACAATGTACGTACTATTTATAAACAAACTTATTAGCTCTTTCCAGTCCGATAGGTATGTATTTCGCAGGAAACTGGCATGTGCCTGCTATTACTTACTTCAGTAGCAAAGTGGTGTGACTAACTTTCCGCCTTGCCTTCCGCCGAGAAGTCTGGTAAGGTTGTTTAGCAAGAGCGACGGATTAAAGGCACTGTCTAGCTGCTCTAGTAGGGTAAATCTGTACTAAAAAAATAAAATTATTGGTTTATTTTGAACTAGGGGGCAGGAGAAACGTGTATCTAGCGCAGGTGCGCGTAAAATCTAGGTACCTAAGGTGATCATGGCCTAGAAAGCTCCATTGCTCCCGTGGCAGCTGCTATTCTTGAGAAACAGCCAGCTGTGCGTTGCCATGAACTTCCTTCTTAAAAGAGAATTACATATACATGGTAAGAACCATTATTACCATAGGTAGGTACCAAGGTTGGTACCTGAGCATCTGACCTAGGTAGTCAGGGCAATTTCTCCTGGCTTTCGAAGTAAGGGGCCAAGAATTACCCAATTACCTTCAATAGGTACCTACAACTTTTACATAGGCCACTTCCTTTATTGCTCACTCTAATATAAGAGCAGGAGTAACGAAGTCCCGTTTACGTATCACCTAGGAGGTAGCTTGTTGTCTTGGTAGCAGCTTACTACCTAAGGTAATAAGCCATAGGGCTATGATACGCTAAGTAGATACCTAGCTATTATAGATCGGACAATAGCATTTATTCCTAGTCAATTATAATGGTAATCCTAAGTAGAACACCAATATCGTCAAAAAGATATGCTTATTACCACTACGCGGCCTTATAAGTGAAAGACGAGCAGTATTACTATAACTCGGAGGAGGTATAACAGTCTTAGGTACCTAGTTATAGAATAGCCCAGAGAGATACGTTGATTCAAGACTTTCCCATTGGGATCGTATGATTTAGTAACTACGAACTTGAAGTATGAACAGTGCAAGTGAGATACCATCCAGTGGGGATAGGTACTCCGAAAGACATCAAAAGCAAAACAGCCACAACACCCGAATCATGCATCGCAATCCGCCAGACGCCACCGAAGAAGGTGCTTCATAGGTAATTATCGAGTCCCACGGGACCCTTGGCTCAACCTTCGCAGTGAAAATCCTCGCAGCCAACGCCGACCAATTACCGTAACCATTTCCCCTCGCCCTAAACTTCACTCACGAACACCAAGGCACAAGGAGTGAGTATAGGCAAGTCCGCAATCAGTATTGTGCGAGGGCACCGATGATAGTCCAGATGAAACACCAGACGGTTGCAGTGAGAAGGGCGCAGATGACCAACATCTCGGCCTCGGAGAAGCAGTCCCAGAAGTTGGGATGGATGTCTGCGTGTGTGACATGAGGGAGTGTGCCGTAGTCGTAGTCGTGGCGCTGGGGCACCGTCAAGGATAGAGGACCGTCGCTGAGAAGTGGCTGCTGCTCGACGTCCTAATTACTTTCTGTTAGTATCCATTACACCAGGTAGGTATCAAGTGAATAAATAATCATGAGCTGGATAGAAAAAAGAAATTAAACAATGTAACTTACGTAGTCATCTGAGTCGGGAATCGTGTACCAAGATCGGATGCCGGTCGAACCCTGACGATGATGAGTGACGACGGTTCGGTTGCTGCCGCTGGGGCTAGCAAGCTGGAGGCCATCGCCCTGGCGGAAGTTGATCGCGTTCTCCCAGGACTCGAAGGCAGACGCGATGCTAGGGGGCTCGCGCGCACTAAAGGTAGACACGACGCTAGGAGTCTCGCGCCCACTAAAGTTAAAGACCACGCCGTCGAGAGAGGTAGCGACCTGGCGAACGTTGATGCTGCGCGGAGTGAGAGACGAAACAGTGCTGGGCTGGCCGGGCGAGAGGAAAGATCGGCTCTCGGGGTTCTTGGGAGTGACGGGAGGAGCCACGACATACTTGCCCTTGTTCTTGGAACCGTCGGGGGTCGGATTCGCAGGGCGATCGAAGTGGCTGGCGGGCGTGGTCGCAGCTAGGCTTTCGGGACTACCAGGAGTAGGCGTGGTAGCCTCCTGGCCGGAGCCAGCCTTGGCGTCGGGCGAGTCGGGGGCGCAAACCATATTGGCTTTTTGGAGCGATTGGATTCGAACTGGATTAGAGGAAGTAGGGGTGTTGTTTTGTGTGTGGTTTTGAAGCCAAATACAGAGGGTGGGCAGTGATGAAGTGATATCTGGACACTCCATACATAGAAGGGGTGGAGTGTATTTGAATCCCCCAGGAATTGTTGTGGGTTTTTTCAAAAAAAAAAAAGTAGGAAAGAAAAAAAGGTTCGTGAATCAGGTCAGTAGGGTTTTATCTGATGCGGACCTATTGACGTGTTGGCACGCATCATTAAAATTGTACTTATTAGCTGTACCTCTGTTATACACAAGAAAGTATAGAGGTACAGTTCACCTCAGATAGTCGAGTATTTGGTTAGCTTGCCTTAGACTGACCAAGATTCAAAGCTTTTTTCATAATTAGGTCTCACTACATCTATGACTTGGAATGGTACAAAGTCAACTTGGAGATAAAGTACATGCGTATTATATTACATGCTTAGGAATAAATAACACGTAATAACAGTCATTTGCAGAATCAGTCGTCGATTTGTGCATTGTTGCTATGTCCTTGCGTCTTCTACACTACACTGTCCTTATTTTATCTGTGAACTCGACTGTGAAAGACCAAATGTGAGCAGGACAGAATAAAATGCTCATGGGTATACACGCCCAATAAGTAAATAATACATATCTATGTGAAAGCCTATGACAGAAATTCCCCGTTTCAACTGCTCCGGGAAAGCCGAATATTTTCGGCACTCTTTCGGTGCCGGCGCCGTTCCGGGTGAAGTGAGGTCCGGGATCCACATCATCCGAAGTACGCGGAGACGGACCCACAAAGCCGACGTCGTGGGTACCTACCTAACATGTGTCACAGGGACTGTAATTGAAATTGAATCTCATGTATCTATAAGTACGGCACAATTCAACATAATAGCATCACGGCTCTGATTTCATGTAGGATCTAATTATTGGCATTTTATATGCTTAGAGGCCCGCTCTTTTATTCCACCTTTGAAAAGGATGACTGGCCCAATGCTACTTCAACAAATAACACTTTTGCGCTTCGATTTACACAAATTGTGTTTATTCAAATAGCCTCACAGGTACCGCTGGAATTTCCACAATTTATAATCATTAGCCATGAACGTGTCGATACATATTGACTAAATCTGTCCTAGCCTTTGAGATAGTTCGTGGTATTAGTTCAAAGAGAGGAGAAGTATTCAAACCTATATATAACGAGTGCGCCTAAGCAATAACCCAAACCCTAATGGATATCCAAGAATTTTACCCGTTGGGAAAGAAATGTCATAACTCGTATCAGAATCCTAATGCTAAATCGACTTTATCGCGAATTTGGTCTGGTCTAGTGATTAGTTCCTACTTGTTACCGTACTCATAAACTAGGGGTATTGGCTTACCTCTCATCCCGCCTAAGGCTTCGAAAGCCGTTGCATAGTTCTCTAGTGTTACTAATATGGAGACCAATCCTTGTTGAAGGCGGTCACGAAGGTTATCGACAAGGGGACCGGCCTCGCCAGTTGCTGTTGGATACATCGTCTCCGTTCTGTCCTTAACCATAAGCAATGCGTAGCTACACTGCATTGCGCAACAGGCGAACGAAGGCATTGTCCTCGGTGTGATCAACGTAGAGTTTGGTCCTATGTAACAAGGGGTATCGCAAAGCAAGCCGCTAGGATTCGGGTACGGTAAGGAGTCGAACGCCTGTGCAATATTTAAGGCCGACTTTAGGCATATTTTAGACGACTGGTGGGTGCTGAACGGGAACGTCATTATTGGTGCCGGTTGGTACGTGAAACCACAGCAGTCCGTATTAGGAGTGGATCGGCTAGAGAGCGTGGGCGACACAGATCCGCCAGATGGGCTCGAGTGAACAGAAGGTGTACTGCTCAGAGTGGTACAACACGACTGAAGTTGAACAACATCCGGACTATCAACAGCGTCTTTCTCGGTTGTGCTCTTCAGGTCGCAGTGCTTCCCCGAAAAAACGGCAAGATCGAAGAAAGCGCAATAACGGTGGACTTTGATTCGAGCACTACATGTTGATGTTAGCCTACTATATCTCGGAATTCTAGGTGTAGTTAATATGCACCTGTTCAACTTGATACGCGAAATGCATCGCAACGATTGAGAGAGGACCGACTCCCTCTTATCAACTGGCTGCGTCAGTGGGCAGTTCAATATCCACGTTTCGGATTTGGTGATCAGAGGTTCTAAAAGCCGTTCAAGGTCTCGCATTCGATTGAAGATACGGTTCATATCTGATTGTTCTTTTCTGGCCTTGTTAAAATCGATAACAAACTGGGTGGCTGCTAAAATAGCCTGCTGAGCTTGGATGAATAATGGCCATGCCTGCTTACAGTTAGAGAGAAGCAACACGCGGGACTTAGGTATCATACATCTGGATCAGCCTTGATCATAGGATATTTAGCCGTGAAGCTAGAAGCGAAGACTTCGAACGTCGGAGGCTAACGAATATTCGTGAGCATATGAATCATATCCCCGAGACAATCCGCGAACGTACTGTATTGCTAACAATTGACCCTTGGCAGACGCAGATATACGTCATCCACCATGTGCGACGTCGTGCTTCTGAGTACTCATCCTCCTCGTCGCTGTTTATATGGAGCATTTGGGACATGGCAGCTACTAAGGCCGCTCCAACCCTAGCCCGCATCTTCTTCAAGTTTCCGCGCTGCGCATATTCGTAGACGCTGAGAAGATCAAGAGCGATGATACTTTCTAACTCTAGAGGAACTTGTGAGTGAAACTTTTCTCTAAAAATTTCATCGTCGGAATCATCTAGAGCCCTTGGTGGCGAAACAGAGGATTCCGGTCGTTCCGCCTCAGTTTCGATACTCTCTAATGCTGCTTTTGCGAAAAACTGCGAATACGTGCGTCTCCAACGAACGGACTCGGGCTCCAGCGGGTTTGGATCCTGGGGACACGGGATGAGGGCTAAGATTGCGGAGATAGCCAAACTGATAGCTGAAGATGGCTCCTCAAACTTGTCTCTCTGGTTTTCGAATAGGGGCGAGACCTGGTCTAGTCCCGGCGTCGTCTCGGGGGGAGGTAAAATGGGAAAATACGGATGAATCCAGATATAATAGGCGTTTAATCTTAGAGTGGTCAGTAGAGAAGTCTAAGAAATGGTGACACAACCCACATAGCCCGATCATCCCCCCCATAGGTTCTAACCATCGGAATCCTAATATTAGGCATTGGGGTCGGCAGGGCATCTTGGAATAGATTATCATATATGGCGTCGCTATCTCTCCAGATATCTGCCAGAGGCTTAAGGCCAGCGCCAGGATCTATATAGTTCTCGAGAAGAAGTGCTTAACCTCGGTCAGCATCGGTATGGTATGCATCTGGGTCAGCCGGCAGAGATTCTCACCATCTTGAGGGATTTCTTCTTGATGAGTAGGTAGCGAGATAGCTAGATCTTGATAGTCGGAGAGTGGTCTGGCCTTCTTTCGAATGCGCGGACCTCCTCGCCTGCTAGGTTTATAGACACATTCGCGGTCTTTTGTTACACACTGAATTGTTTAGCCAGTTAGTGTCTCATATTTGATTATTGTATGCTTCTTTCTATTCGGAACGAGACATGAATGAACTAAGGAATAAGAGTTAAGCGTACACTTGCGCATGGATGCTCGCCGTTGCATCGTGTCCTCGACGCGCGACTTCAATGGCCGTTAGCATATACCCTAATGACGTTGGTGACTACCTAGGAATTGATGCCAAAGGGATGCCAAAGGATGGCGCAATGCTCGGGCGCTACAACTTACCAGGATAGACAGGCATTCTTAACGGGAGGAATCGCAAATTTCTTCCTAGGCACGGATGCCTGAGTGGTCAATCTTTGGACCCCATTCTGACCATCGCCCTCGGACATCGTCATTATGGTGGTTCGGACCTAGTCGACACCCCTAAGGGCTGTTAGGTAATTGAATCTATAAGTCGATGGGTGAATAGCCGTTTTAGTAGCCAGGTTAACTAGCAGTGGAGATGCTCAGACAAGGAGGCGACTTCTGATTGACCAGATTTAGACGGCAGTCTTTTTAATTTTCACCTTGTCGCTCAGGGCTCAGGATTTCTAATGTTAGCCTGAAAGCGGGGTAAGCGGCTGGTTCTGATTAAGGGTCCAGGTCCAATTTCTCTAGGATGACAGGATGAGTGAACTATGAACTACCTTGGCCGTATGGAAAATAGGCTAGGCATTGAAAGGAAAAGGGAGATATGCTAGTTTAGGAATGATGCGGTTCGATGGAGGGGGTTTTATGAATCGAGGGAAATCACGTCTAACCTATCGCTAGCCTGTCGCAGTAGCATCATGAGACATCTGCATGGACTTTCCCCCGATAAGATCTATCATCTTTTTAAGGGAAGGAGGGTGGAGGGTGGCAGTGCCACCGTGGTGGCTCTCCCTGTCTCCGTTGCAAAAATGTTCTTTCCCTCCATGTCTGCCTGTCCGGATTCTACTAGGATATTATTAGTTAGTGCACTAATATCCACTACAATTGATACGCTAACTTTCACTAACAATGCATCTGTGCATCCGAACATGTACAATATTGTACACTACAGAAAAACAGCCCCGGCCCGTCCCGCTTAGGCCACATCAAATTTTAGCCACGCAAATCACCTTCTTCCCCTTGGTCCTTGGTCTTTGGTCCTTGGTCCTTGGCCGGTTACTTACCTCCTAAAGTTTACTGACATGTAATTTTTGTCATGCCTTTCTCCAGCCAACCTCCTTCGCCGAATACCTAGCCTTCCCGATTCCTTACTGATTGCGTACGTTTATTCCCGCGTCTCACTCGCCGGCCCTACGAATCAAGCCCGGAAAACCCCTCCTCTATTGGGTAATCAGCACCACGCCATTAGTGATAATCCTCGTACGTTTGCGGACATAAAAGGTCAAAGTCGGCGGTGAGATAGGCTCCAACTACTACCTCCGCCGAGACCCAGTTGTTCAATCGCGATCTTAATGATAAATTCGCTGGGGGGCGAGTGGAGAGAAGGCCAATTACGACGGTATATCTAGATCGGAGATATGATACGTACAAGCGAGGTAGACCGATCAACCTAGCCCCTAACTCCTATTTTATTCCACTCGCTTGTTGGGCGCTAAACAGCCATAAAGCATAGCAGCCTGTGGATTCTGCATGCGAACCCCAGTACCCCAGAATTGGGGATGTCAAAGCTCGTCTAAAAAAAGACTTCGATCGCTTAAGCCCTAAAATCATTTGTACATACATACCTACGGAAGGGAACGTAATAGAATCTATGAGAAGCCATAATATATCCCTTGCTTCGCTGGCGACATCGGACACAATCGATAAGTCCCCGTCGGGTGGCCTGATGAAAACCAATCTCTAATTCTTGTGCGCTACCTAATAGGTCAATCTGTTGACCAAACGTACGGATGCTATGTTTATGCATACGATGCCCCATTGTTTGTGATTTCCCCTATGTAGCAAACTCTTCAGCTCCCATCTCCGCCTAAGGTAGATACCGTGTCACAGGAATTGGCATCTACAAGATGCGGATGATCGTTTCCTTATTTGCTTGATCGGCGGGGGTAATTGGATTATATGCCCTATTCATCATTATCCGTTGTCGGGTTACTTCCTGACCCCTATTCTTTTGGAGGCTTCTTCTTCTTCTTCTTGCCGCTCGGCGGTGGTGGAAGTGTATTTTCTGGGGCTGTAGATGGCGGCGGGGGAGCCGGGTTAGCCGGGGCAGCCGGGGCAGCTGGGGCAGCCGGGGCAGTCGGGGCGGACGGGGTAGCCGGGGCGGACGGGCCTGGCGGCCTTGGCGGATCTCTTGGGGGATTCATTTGCTATTCATTATTAGCCACTACGATATTGTCTATCACTCGGGCTAACCTTACCATCTCTTGGGCACCGCCCGCATTAAGGTCAACATCTCGGCGACTTTGCACTTGAAATAGGCAAGGCATAAGCCAGTGGAAGAAGGGCGTAATTGCCAGCAAGAAGGTCGGGAACCATGCCACCATAGAAACTTCTATGACCATGAGTGATAAATGGAACGTCACTTCCTTCGATTCATCCGGTGTTGACAGCGAGGTTATGGCGAACAGTACAATCCACCCAACAGCCATCACGATCTCTAGTATGGCCAACAATATTGACCAGATATGTCGAAGGAAAAGCGCGAAAATGCTCCAAAAGACAGACAAGAAGACTAAGCCAGCCGTATAATAATTGTGCCAGACAACGGGGACCGAATACGTGCAGACGTAGAGACAGAATACTACGATAGCGATGAGGGCTTGCGACACTCGGAGAATCATGATGAGCGAGTTGCTGTCGTAGCCGGATGGCTTATTCTTGCCGTTGATTTTTGAGTCGATGGTGAAAGTTGTGTCTCTGGGGTTTTTAAACCAGCCGTCTCTTCCCTGCAATTCCTGAGAAGGTACGCACCACCAGCATCTTGTACGCTGTTTCGGTGGGGGTGGTGCCTTTGATCCCTTCGCCATCGGATGGGGATCGCTTGGTGGAAGTATGGCGTATTGAGGTTATGTTGTAGAATATACTGGTTTCTAGTTTGGATATTGAGGCTCGAAGAAATTCATTGCGAGCTCTCCCTACTGATAGATTTATATGTCTGTCGGTAGAGCAACATGAAATCATTAGTATCCCGTGAATAATTTAACATCCTTCGCGAAAGAAAACGCTAACAGTGAATAAACGGGCTCAGTATTGGTGAATCACGAATGACCAGGTCACAAATGTCGTATACGGCAATTGAGTATAGTCATGTGCGAATTCAACGGACCAATATAAATGTCTGAGTAACAACCATCTGAACGTCAATTTGAGTAGCCTCGTTAGACTAGTACCGTGAGACACTATTCCAAGATCATTTCTATTCCTCTGAATGTAGAGCATACCTCTGTCCTACTACTGTCAACTATATAAAGAAGCTATACCGGGTTAGATAGGTGGGTAGGAGGTAGATACGAATATTATTCACATGCATATGCCGGAAAGGTGATAATCATCAACTCTCATATTTCCTTTCCTATGGTCTAACAGTTGCTAGGTAGGTCATAGTCAGGTGATTTCTAACTATTAGAATCAAGAAAAGAGTATTGAATATCAGCTCTATGCCGTGCGCAACTACAATATCCAGAGTGGTTTGAATGTTAGGATATAACAGGGCTACCTATCCGGTAGCCGCTGGATACTAGGTCTATATAAGAAGGCTATGTCCTCAAGTGCGAGCTTGACACGGTGGGGCTATCTCTTAAAATCTAAATAACCAGTTTGATTTGTCTAGAAAGTTCACCATCAATTTTGATTGGACATACTCTGGATGGGAATACTCCACCGTGTCAAGCTCGCACTTGAGGACATACTCCCCCCCTATTTTTAGGAGAGTGTGTGTCAATTCCGTCGCTAACACACCGTTGTATTAGTTTCTAGGTCCTGCCTGTCAGGGCACAAAGGGAGCTAGTATGAATTAGGTATAGATCGGCGACGATAAATATATAAGGAGCGCTTCGCGCCCCTCGCAAAAGGATAAAAGGTTAAACGTTAATGGATTCATACTACTATACGGCTACTATACAGCAGCTTCGCTGTTGCTTTCAACATTCACTTTACGTATGACATACATCAAGGGTTCTCTGACAGTGTAACGCCTATTGCCCATCAGCATGGACCGTTTGTCAGGGAGGTAGACCCCGAGGCCGTGAGGCAACACGAGAGAAACCTCGACGGCGCGAGAGAGTAGCCACGATACGAATAGCTACGATATAAAAGGAAGCATCACGAGACGAGAGAGAGGGAGACGGCGACGCCGTAGGAGAGTAGACACCAGGAGAGGAGAGGGATTTAGAGACCTTTTAGGAGGTCTCGAAGCTAAGTATTGCCAGTCCACAATTATGAAGCTATTTTAGTATAGGAAGCAGTGATCTCGGTAGAGACATGTGGGGCGAGATAACAGTTGCCACGAATGAGGCTCTAGGACCGAGACGAGACCCACAACAGAGATTAGGATCAGGGGCAAGGCTCCACGATCAACACGAGGCTAAGCGAATAGCCACAGCGACTAGGCTCTAGACTCGGCCTTACGAGTAAGGTAGCGGCCACAACGACGAGGCCTTATGACCGAGATAAGGCCTAGGCTATAGCGATGAGGCTATGAGGCTCTAGGGCCTTACTAGTCGTCTTAGCTATGTTCCAGGACCCTACTAGTCATCTCGATGACGAGGCCTTATAGGACCTTGTTAGTCATCTCAATTACGTACGTCTAGGAGGTCGTAGGACTTCCCCAGTCGTCCCCAGAGAGCTGTGGTTGCCGCAGGGAATAACGAGGCCTGAAAGGGCGTACTGCCGATGGTCCTTGACGCGGTTCGAGGATAGTTAGGAGACGCCTTAGTACGGTAGGTAGTGACTCTAGCGGGCTAGCGGCAAGGTAGCTATAGGAGTGCGTACCTTACTACCGATTGGGTGTGATTGGCCCGAAAAGGTGTACTGCCAAAGGTCCTTGACGCGGTTCGAGGATAGCTAGGAGGCATCTTAGTACGGTAGCAGGTGATTCGACGAGACTAGCAGAGCCGCGTAGCCGCGTAGTTACTGCAGGGGACACCGGACCCGGAAAAGGTGTACTGCCGAAGGTCCTTGACGTGGTTCGAGGATAGCTAGGAGGCATCTCAGTACGGTAGTAGGTAACCCTGTAAGGGATTAGCCGTACGGTCGCTGCGGGGAACAACGAGGCCAGGAAGGGTGTATTGCCGAGGTTCCAAACGCGGTTTTGGAATAGCCAGGAGACACCCGGAATGGTAGGTAGTGACCTCGTGGTAGACTAGCAGAGAGCCGCTTAGTCGCTATAGGGAAGATCGAGGCCTGAAAGAGTGTACTGCCGAGGTTCCAGACGAGGCTCTGGAATAGCCAGGAGACATTCTAGTACGGTAGCAAGTGACCCTGTGGTAGGCTAGCGACGAGGTAGCTATGGGAGTGCGTCCCCTACTACCGATTGCGTATAAGGCAAGAGACTAGTAGAAGCAGAGTTGTGCAGTTGCCGCGGGGGAGATCGAGGCCTGAAAAGGGGTACTGCCGAGGTCCTTGTAGAGCCAGGGATAGCCAGGAGACGCCTTAGTATGGTAGCAAGTGACCCCGTGGTGGGCTAGCAATGAGACGGCGAGATTGCTATGAGAACCCGACTATCGAGTGTATGACTAGTGAGGTTGTGAGACTACGAGAGGCGACGACGAGACTAGCAACGAGGCTAGAAGAGACGAGTATATACCTTATTACAGGGTAGTAGTAAGAGGCGAGGCTAGCAGGGAGGCTAGAAAAGACGAGACGAGATAGCGCATATACCTTGCTACAGGGTAGTGGTGAGAGTAGTGTTGAGGGTAGCGACGACGAGGTTCACGATGTTTTTTACCCTCTTCTCACGCGGCTTCTCTTCGCATGGCCCCGAGGACGGGACAATTGGAGGGAGGGATGACTCTGTCAGGGTATAGTGGGTCAGGGTGGCCACAGGGGTCTATCTACTATATATAAGAAGCGTTAGTCTGTCAGAGGCTGCCCTTGGTATATCACCACTACGGAGTGACAGGTGACTAGCTGGTGAATAGCTCATATGGTATATATTTCGGAATACTACTAACGCCTGCCCTCTCCTAAATCTAAGAGGGAACCAAGGTCACCTTATGTACAACATAGTGAATGACTAGCTGGCAGATAGCTCCAAGCTAGATCTTAGACCCCTTATCACGTCATATACCTATCGTAATCCTTGTCATCTGATAGTTCTGATGAAGATCTCGAGAGTATGAAAAGTAGCATATCCAATAGTCTAACATTATGACGCCTTTAGTAATTAAGTGAACGTCAATTGAAAGGTTATTGAAGCTTACCTTACATCAAGTAAACTGCTGGTAAATTAGTTCCCTTGTATACCTGTGGATATGTACCTTAAGTTTATGAAGGGTTATTGCCTTTACGAAATTTTATATCTTTTCCAAGTGTATTAATCTCTTTAGCTTTAGCACTATGCACACATATCACATCATATCATGAAGCATCGGTAAATGCCCTTCCTCCAACAGTGGTGTTGGATCTTTCATATTATTGCCGACCATGCCCTAAGTAGGTGTCGAGGGCCACGAAATGGGAGGGGCTGTACTTGATCTGTTTCATGATATATTTTAAGCAACTTGACGACGGGACACCTGGCACTAAGCCCGAGTCCGAGGAATCACGGTTTCGGTTTCTCAAACAAATAAAGAGAAACACCCCATGTGTCTCCGCCCTGATAAGCAAACAGTTCCGAGCACGCCATGTAGAAGATCTGCCATCTGTTATACCACGTCCCAGCATTCTCCTTGCCGTACGTCTCCTCCAAATGCGGCCATATCTGCTTCTTCTTGGCTATCATGTTTGCAAGCCAGTGCTTCGTCCATTTTCAGCCTGCGTCCATGGAATATCCAGGATAGCAAGGGGAAGTATAGAATTTCCAACTTACCTCGGAAGTTTTCGAATAATGCATGCCATTGACCCACCATTGCCTCTCGATCTTGAGATCTTTCTGAAAATACAGCAGCAGATCTGCTGAAGGCATAGTGCCGCCAGTGAAGAAATAGGTACTTACCCAGTCATTCTCAAAGTGGTACGGCGAGGTCTTGTGCGAGAAGATGTGCAGGAAGAGCTTTCCATCCGGCTTCAAGGCTCTTGCCGCTTTGGCCATAAGCAGCTCGTAATTTTTCATATGTTCGAAGAGCTTCCCAAAAGTCAGCCTAAATATGGAGGCAATTTCTCGATGCAGCTGGGAAAATTGGCTGGGCCACTTACCTCTACAGAGATTATCCGGTCGAAACTATTGGCCTCAAATTCATAGTCTACGATGTCGCCCGTGATGACAGTCAAATTGGTGAAGCCCTTCTCCTGGGCCCTGTCATCGATGTACTTCTTCTGGCTCTGCGAGTTCGAAAAGGCCGTGATCTTGGACTTGGGTAGCATCTCGGCGAGGTAGAGGGTTTCAGAACCCCAACCACATCTGCGACGAGCACACGTCGTCAACACCACGGCTCACTACCACTAGCCCACACATCACACACGTGATACAACCAAAGAGAGGATTTTTAACTCACCCGAGATCAAGTATACTCATGCCGTCCTGGATCGCCGCCTTGTCGACGTACGACGCCAACATGGCAGCCTCCGCCTGGGCCAGCGTCTCGTGACCCTCGGGGAACAGGCAGCCGCTGTACTTCATGCGCGGGCCGAGCATGGCGGCCAGCACGCCGGTGCCAACCTCGTAGTGCTGCGCGTTAGCCGTAGCCGTCGAGACGGCCATGGGCCCTGTCCGCAGTGCCTCGATGAAGGCCATTTTGCGTTCCAGCGCCGCCGCCAGTGTCGGCTCCGCACGTTCCGTCTGCTTCTGCCGCTGCGCTATCTGCCACCGGATCACCATCCGGATCACGGCGTGCGGCAGGTAGCCCGAGTCGAGGATCCAGTCTGCTGCATTGTTATTGGGACGGCTCGGGTGTTAAGGCGGGTGCTTGGGATAGTGGTGATGGTGTGTAGCGGCGGTCACGAGTAGGTAACGTAAAGCTATTCTGCGGTATATTATGACGGAAAGGGGCTAGAGCATCTACACACCTATGTTCATGGCGGTCGAGGGGTTGGTTCAAGGCTGTATCTATCCTAAACCTGATGTAAGACATCCACTTCACAAATAGAAGTTTACGGCTGGCTCATTTTGGACTTTGTCTTTTATCAAGGCAACTCAAGTTCTTGCTTCTGTAACGGGCCGTGGTCTCGCGCATAAATCTTAGTGTTACGAAGTGAGGTCGTATCGGAAGTCTATACGTCGCCACCAATTTGCGCCACCGATTCACATCATGCAATTGCATCGCCGATTCGCACTGCGTATTCTCATCGCCGCTTTATACGACCTCCGGTCTTGGTACAGGTCACTTTCACGATGGGAGTATTAATCACACGCTGAAATGCAGCACTGCACCAGCTCGGCAAAACCTTAGACTTGTTAAAAGTTAAAAGTGCAAAAAAAGGAGAGGCATTACCCCGCCAGCAGAAGCCAACAAGTGGCGTTCCGGCGTATAGGGGCTGAGGATGAATAAATCATTCTTTATCCATCCCCGGATATCGACGAGATTTGAAGTCCTGGAAACGCCCAATATCCCTCCCCAATTTCAACGCTAACTCTATTATGTCTATAGGTTTTATCACAACCGCCAGTGGTGCGAGCTGGCAAGATGTCGCAGTTGATCGACAACGGCATCGAGACGCCACCATCGCAGAGCTCCATCCTCCACTGCCCGTATTGCTGGCTGATAATATACCACTTAACACCACGAGTATCCCAGATAAAATATTGACCGACGAAGAGCGCACCATCACGGGCGCCAACGTCGAGGACCTCCTCGTGAAGCTAGCGACGGGGGAATGGAGCTCCACGGCTGTCGTCCAGGCATTTATGCGCCGCGCCGGTCTAGCTCAGAAGCTGGTAAATTGCGTGACCGAGCTGCTCCCGGACCGGGCCCTTAGACGAGCAGCTGAGCTTGATGAGTATCTGGCCACCCATAAGAAGCCGATTGGTCCGCTCCACGGCCTGCCGATCAGCGTCAAAGAACATATCGGCATGAAGGGCCTTGACATGAATGGCGCATTCATCGGTAGCGTTGGCAACACAGCCGAGAAGGACGCAGTGGTGCTAGAGCCGCTTTGGGATGCTGGCGCGGTCTTCTATGTAAGAACACCTGAACCGCAGACTATGATGCAGCTTGAAACTAGCAGTAATTTACTTGGGTAAGTAAGCTATCGAATAAACTGATATTAACCCTCCTCTCTTGTAAACTATATTATAAGTCAACTAATCTATAACTAGGGAGACGGTCAACCCGTACAATACTACATTAACTCCTGGAGGTTCCTCGGGCGGAGAGGGTGCTCTTATAGGACTACGGGGATCAGTACTCGGGATTGGATCGGATATTGGAGGCTCCATTCGCTCTCCCGCAGCCGCAGTCGGAATATTCGGCTTCAAACCAACTTCCGGCCGCATTGCCACGAGAGGGTGGTTTCCAATGATGTTTGGAGCTGAGCACATCATACCAACCAACGGGCCCATGTCTACTAGTCTAGCCGGCCTGAAAATCTTCACGAAAACCGTCGTAGATGGCAAGATGTGGCTCAAAGTTCCAAGCGTGGTCCCGATGGAGTGGAGGGACACTTCATCCTACTTTCCCGACAGAAAACTTAAAGTTGGCGTTCTCTGGGACGATGGCGTCGTCAAGCCGCATCCACCTATAAATAGAGCCATGACAGAGCTCGTTGAGAAGTTGAAAAAAAGTGAGAATATCGAACTTATAGACTGGAAGCCTTGGAAACATGATCTAGCATGGGAGATCATTGTAAGTCTACATGCCTTGCCTGAATTTGTCTCTGGGCAATATTAACTATATAGGCGTCTTTATACTTTGCCGATGGCGGTAAAGAAGTCATAAGCTATGTCGAGTCTTCAGGAGAACCTTTCCGCCCTTTGTCTCAGTGGATCATTCGAGACAACCCGCACGTGAAAGAGCATACCATCCGATCTCTGTGGGACAGGATCATCCAGAGGGATGGGTACCGGGAAGATTACGCCGCGTTATGGAACGAGACCGCCAAGACGACTTCGGATGGTAAGATGGTCGACGTCATTCTGTGTCCCGCGGCTCCGGGCGTAGCTGCGAAGTTGAACACGTCCAAGTACTGGGGCTACACCTCTCAGTGGAACTTGCTTGACTATCCGGCTGTCGTGTTCCCAGTTCAAGACCAAGTCAGCGTGGAGAAATATGCCCCCTACGCTTATCCAGCGGACTATAAACCAAAGTGCGAGAGTGATGAGTATAATTGGAATCTTTGGAGGGAACACGGGTCTGAAGGGTACCGGGACGCCCCGATTTGCCTTCAACTAGTGAGCAGGAGGTAAGTCCTAAACTTCTACGGGAAATGACTCGAGATAATTGCTAACTGAAACCAAAGATTTAATGACGAGAGTTTATTAGAGGCACTAGAGATTATCCTTGAAGAAGCTGGGTTGCCAACTACATGTTGATCTGTAATGAAACTGCGGGGGTGATATCCGATGCTGAGATGTACTAATATATGGCACAACATCAGTAGTAGTATTCAGTACACTCATACGTCCCGAACCGTGATAAGGAGCTTAGTTTCTTAGTTTGTAAGATGGGTTCTACGCTGCCAGCTATGTCAAGTGTGAAGTAGGAAGTGGTTGTGTGAGGACCAAGATTCAGGGGTAGTACAGGGGTCATCACTAAAGTCCTCATGTTAAGTCTGAGTGAAAAGAACACAGACAGAGAATCCTGCAAGAACAGAACACCAGACAGAATGAACCGATTGACCCGAGTATACGTAGTATCCAACAAGAACATATCTACAACGCTAACAAGATCGGTAACTATATGGCCTTCGGTCTATTTAGAACGAAAAGATTTTCGTGAGCCACTATCGTAGATAGTAACTGTCTAGCCGTACCCAGGGGAAGGTCTACCCTATACGTATGACGAACATGGCTGGTGTCTCACTGCATCCTTTCCCTCTTCGATTTGCCTATAGCCTGGTTCTCATGCACACGAATAGCACGGTTACCAAAATAGGGGATTCAACCCGATGGTGGCCACCAATTCTATAAGTTCTATGTGAATACTATCACTTGCCTTATCCATGTCCCGCAGCAGCCGTCTGCAGAAGCGAGTCCTATATTATTAAAAGTGCAGCAGGTTTCATATTAAATCTACTACGATATAAAGCGGCAAGCAAAGCATGCCTTAGGTCAACTGGTCACGTTGGCGTGTGTAGCTTAGAGGGTAAACAGTAGCAAGTAGTGGCCTATCATTGTATACATTCCTACGTCCTGATAGCTACCTACTTACCTCGTATATAGATGCACAGCGGCCCTCTCTCCTCTACCCTTGTTTAATTAGACAACATCAGCATCTCGCTCCCCCCATTGAAAATAATTCAACAGTTTAACATTTGCCCTTATCCATACTACTCCAAAGATGGTTATCAACCAGAAGTACGTGGAGCCCGCTGCGGTCCCCGTCATGGACTTCGAGGCAATCCGTGCCAGTACCGGGGATAAGCGAAAGGAATACTTGCGCCAGATCGATGGGGCGCTTAGCCATCATGGTGCCATCTACGTTATCAATCACAGCATTGGGACCGACGTAGTTGATGAAGCGTTGGCGTGGGTAAGTAGGTCTCATCTATCATATGCAGTGGGGGGGGGGGGGGGGGGGGGGCGGCGGCGGCGGGGGGGGGGGGGGGGGGGGGGGGCGGCGGGGTGGGGGGGGGGGGGGGGGAGTGGGAGAGGGAGGAGGG